GAATAGAGAATGGTCCGCCTTCCTTTGGCAAATATTCGAAAACTAGGTGGAACGACCAAACAGAAGTTTTTTGGGGGCTCATATCAAGCGTTTTGAACAAAAGCAAAAAATTTGAGAGTCAAGGATTCCAACATGCGACCTCGTGTCTATGAAGCAGTGCGCCTATCCACTAGGCCACCGGTGACCTGCCGCATGCAGTTATCCTTCTCAATGTCTGCGAAGTGACGAAGATTAAATGGTCCGTAACTCCCTTCAGAGAATCGTTCCGCAAAAACGGAGGGCAGATTTGGATTCAGCGGCTCAAGACACGTCCATATATATACATCTCATTGCAAATGGCCGGATCGACCTGTTGGGGTTCCCTTGTCAGTCTTAGCAATGCGCAGATGACCATAGTGTCCCACACTAGCGCCGGCGCCATAAATAAATGTCATATTCGTAATCAGGTCAAATAACCCCCGTATATAAGTTTACAACGATTTTGCTGATTTATGGTATTTTGGCGACTGCGCCTGTAGCTCGGGCGCCAGGCAATAATATGATATCCGTGTTCGGGAGGTCAAAGTACCCCTGTAAGCAAATTTTCAGCTAAATCTGCCGCTTGCAAAAAAAGTCGGTAAAAACGCGTCATGATTTCGGCAGACTGGGTGGGAATAGTTCAACAGTGCCCAAGTTGTTTACACTCGCGGTAAAGAAAAAGGCGAACAAAAAAGAAGTCCATTGCAATATAGCTCGAGCTGTGTATCAGGATGAATTACTCAGTGTTACCCGTCACAAATTTACAGAAAAACACTTACCTGAAAGAAATGTAGTGGACCTACCTTGAGGCGAAGATTCCACCATAAACTGAAAGCTGCTTCAATGTAGGTTATATCAGAGCTCAATAAACCACTTCTGAGTAGCTAAACAGCTTTAAGGAAGATGTCGAGGCGAAAGAAGGAGGAAAAACGACAGGGAAGCGGTCGCCTTTAAGCAATTTCAAAGATGTTGCGCATGAAGTAGGAGGCGTTGTAACGGCCACCACAAATTCTATAACTCCCACCTGTTGGAGGAATTCTTGGAGTCCTAACGGCGTTAGCCGTGTTTTACGAAAGAATGGAGGGCATAATGAAGATGTGCGTGAGAAGAACAATCGGAAAAAAATGTCTAATGGTCTCCCATTTTGAGACCCTTGTACCCGAAGTCGAAGCAATGGTAAATACCCGTTTGGCTTAGGTACATCGGTGGATGACTACTTCGTGATACGACCAATAGTTTTCAACACACACAGTTACACTTTTGTCCAATATCAAACAACAGCGAAATCACAGATGAAGCTTACATTCCCACTATGACATCAAAACAGGAAATCCTTTTTACCTCAAGCACGTCAACTCGGTCTCGACAAGTTTTGGTCTTTGTGGAGAGATCATTACCTTCTTGAACTTCAGAAATCATCAACAAAAACGAATACGCCAAAATAGCTCCATAAAGCAATTTCCTCAAAAGGAAGACGTGGTATTAATGCTCGACGAAGACAGCTCTCGCGAAACGTGACCATTAGCGCTGGTTACCGAAGCTATCACTGATCCGGACGGATAAGTTAGAGAACTCGGAGTGCGTGCAGCACGACGAGACAACATGCAGGATGATTTGAATACCATAGACGATGCAAATTACAAACGTGACAGCGCAGCAAGGAAGGCTAAGGAAAACATGCAATACACCATGAAAACTACACATGTGCCCACTATCCAACAACTGTTCAAATTTGAAGCTTACGAGTGGACGATCACGATCATTTCAATCTTAACATTCCTACGGGGTGTTGCCGCGCACAAAGTCAACAATACCTTTCACAACAGAGTGTTTCCGGGGGCGTGAATTTCTATGCCTTACATTCAGTAAATGACTCGAGATTTGCGGAGAGCATCACCCTAGAAATACGCAATCCAGACGAGAACTTGACAGTCCAGTTTCCTCCAGATATTGTCTTACATCAACACATGGTAATGATAACGAGGTGAACTAATCAAACGAACACAACTCAGTTCAGATGTCCAACGAGCCGCATCTGAAAACAAATCAAATGCAATTTCGCGCGGTTATGATTACCAACCCACATTGCTGGCCGCGTACTGAGATCGCCGTTACAGCAATGTATATGATATTACTCAGAACAGTGATAGCAGCTGCAAGTGAACCTCTGACCTACCGAAAGTCTTGAGCGAAACTGTTTGCGAATCTCAATCCTGTGTGACAATCTGTTCCCCCAAAGGCTATACAAACAAAGTTCCCTTTTATTCTAGCAGAGTGTATTTCAAGGAAATTGCCAGGCCCGCCGTCGTAAAACCCAGCACATATTTTCAATAGCTTGTCAGCTGCATTTTGTAGGGATACTACCGACCCATAGACTTATTTCAATAAATAGCAATGGCAGCCCAGTTCAAATAACTACTTTCACTTGGATGTTCTCGATATTGTTTTGAACTGCATCACGGTTCAAATGAGGTTTTGGTGGTTCAAGTGGTAGGTTACATGTTTATTGGTAACACATAGCACATACAGCATGACTACAATCATTACTACAAGCATAAACATACGAGGCTAAACTACTGGCATATTCGTGTCAAATGCGAGTCAAATTGTGTCTTGTGTTCTTCTTCAGGCGATAGCGGGTCCGCAGTGTCTTGTGTCTCGTCTCTTGTGTTGGCACATCGTGTTCGTTCTCATTTCTGTGTGCTCGTAGTGTTCGGGAACTGCTGTGGAAGTGTGGAGCTGCGAAAGCAGCGAAACTGCAAGGAGAAACTGTGAAGAACTGCGAAGAGAAGAGGAACTGACTGCGAAGAGGAACTGACCGAACTGCCTGGCGGCACTCAGCGCGCTACCTTTATAGCCCTGATTATGGGCGGTATAAATACTGGCTGAGGTGGGCGGTGCCAAGGCCTCCTATTGGTTGGTTGTAGGCGGTGAGCGAGCTTTCTAGAAAGTGTGCATTTGCGACCCGTGCATCCTAGTCATCATGACCAAGGGTCATGACACTCCGCACGACCAGAGAAGTTTAGAAATTGCAAGTACATAAATGCCGTTTGCATCCTCCCCGCCGCCGAAGAATGGTATTTGTATAAGTGTATTTTTGTTGCGTTTTATGTGTTTTTTTTGGTAGTAGTGTCCCGAATTACATCCTACAGTAATACAGTATAAAACGTAATAATGGTATAAAATAGTACAGTATAATAGTATAGAGTAGTACAGTAATAGAATAGAACCTACAATACGAGTAGAAGGGGAAAAAAAGGAAAAATTGATGCTGCCGTAGCAGGCTTGACGACGTTGCTAGCCGATGGCGTTGACTGTGGATTGCCGAAGTGCAGAACGCTGGTGGTGTTGTAGTGGTAGTGACATGGTAGATCACTGTCTGAACAGACGTGAAGAGCCGAGAATTCGTAGTGGTAGACGAAGAAGTCGTGTTGTGAAAGAAAGGAGTTGCTTGAAGACTGTGAAGATTATGAAGATTATGAAGAGAATGAGTTGAAGGGGAGGGAAAATTGATGCCACTGTGACCATGTGCGAGGATCCTCTCGAGGTTTTTGGTGTCTGTGAGCAAAGGAGTCGATGGCTGACCATCAACGCGCTAGTAAGAAGAAGAAGGATTGTCACTGAGTAGATAAGGAATTGTTTGCAAGTGTGAATGAAATGGGAAAAGTCTGGTAAAGCTAGGTCGAAGTTGATAGATGAATTGTCAGTAACTGTGTCGTTGTTCCATAAGCGAATATAGTTCCACAAGGGTTGTATGCCGTTGATGTAGTTAAGAGTGCCTTGTAATTCAAATATTGTGATGTGTGTACCGCACTGTGCTCTGCAAGTTTCATGTACTTCGGGCTTTGTTAAAAAATAGACGCACATTGTTGGAGGTACCCGATAGACTGCAGGTCAATGTGAATGTCTGTTGTCCACAATTGACTTGTGCAATGGACTGGGAAGTGTCAGATTTACAAAGAATTGTAGCTAGGGAACCTTTCACGCAGTTGTAGCATCCGAGAAAATGTTGTGGAAGAATAAGGCACTGAAAATCTTGTATTTCTTGCTTGATATTGGATATGTTGGCGTTTAGTGTAAGCATGAGGTCAACGGATATAGCGGTTGTCCTTACGGTAGGTATTTTGTTGAGGCCTTCAGTGGATACCAGGCCGTTTGGTATAGGAAGAGGAAGGGTATTGGAAAGTTGGGTGATGTGGGAAACGTTATTGTTGGTGCAATAGCAGGTGACGAAATCTTCAGCAGGATTGCATTTACAGGTATCTTTGATAATGCAATCATTAGTGTGGGTGCCGTTATGTGGTTTATTTGGGTTAGCGTTGCATGCGTCGGTTTCTGTGTGAACATACGCTGTTGTCTGGTTATTGCTGATAAATCGTTGATGAAGGATGGAGAGTGGTGTAGAAGAAATGCTTGTAATTTCAAATGTTGTGTTTGCAATGCGTTTTTTAGTATAGGGTTTTAGTTCAATATTTTGCGATATATGGCTAGTGCCTTGAGTCTGCACATTGATCGATATGGTCTGGAACCAAGATGGGCATTGAAACACTTCGTAGACATTGTCGTCGAGGGGTATATGATATATGCGATAGAAGAGGCAGCCTGATGATGGGTAACCGCAAGAGCAGCCTAATCCACCGCAGGATTCGGTGCAGTAGGTGATGCCTGTGTAGTTATTAGCTTCGTCGAGTTCGTCGACGAGGGTGTCGTAATTGATTTTTGCGCATTTAAGACCAGTACATGTGCCCATATGGGGGCAGCGCTTTCGATACTGTATGCGAGTGATGGTGTTTTGAGTAAAGTACAAGTGTTTCTTTACGACAGCGGAGGATTAACGCGTTAAGCGAGATCCGCATAAAATGGATGCGTTGGTCACCTTGTTGTACTTGTATGCACATTTCAGGTTGCAATTGATTGAGTTGTGCTAGTAATGTAGTTTGGTTGCGGCAGTTGTGTTGGATGTGTCACACTGAGATAGTGTTGCTGGTAGTAAAACTGTTTGTTGACAGCTTAATACCAGGGGTGTGATGGATGTTACAATTGTGATCAATTTAATGAGAGTGGTAGTATTCCATTTGGTGTTTACGTTATCGAGTTCGATTAAAGGAGTGTAATCATTAGAATCATGACGTGTTCTACGTTTCTGTCTTGTAACGTTACAGAGGGACAGGAGGGAGGGGATGTTTCTGCAGAGGCAGTTGAAGGTACGTGCTGTCTTCTTGATTAAAGCGAAACTTATGTATAGGGTAATTGCGATTATATAGAATAGTATGGCCGTTACTGCAATGGCAATTCGTGGCCAACACTCAGGATTGGAAATCATCTGAAATCAATCCCCTTCCATACCCCATATCATATCTGGGAATCAACAGCCAACTAATGCTGTCACCCGTGTTATGAATATGGTGACCGTCCCCTTCTGACGCCCCGTATCAGATCTTATCAGTAGATATCACTTCCTATCACCCACCAATAATCTTCCCCTCCCATGCCCAATATCATTGTTGAATATGATTTTATAACATGAAGTTGCTCACTTTATTCTTTTGTAGTTTCTTTACAGGCTGAATAGTGTGGCTTCACGGCAAGCAGTTTTGAATTCCGAGTGCGCGCGGCGCGCGGGTTAGTGCGAGAGTATATGGATCCGAACGGATCGAAGGATGGCGCCTTCCAGAAAGTTCTGCCCCGCTATATAAGCCTGTGGATTGATTAGTTGCTCGCTTTAGCTTTGCTTCTCGTGTATGGTTTTTGCCTTTGTGGCATTTTTTTTTTTCTATCGTGCCTTTTACCTTTAATAAACAGTTATTTGTTGTCTGCTGGTAGTTTTTGTCAGCTCAGGTCAATCCTGTCATACCAACAACATCAACTTGGGGGCCGAACCGGGATTGACCAGTGATTTGACAGAAACTAACCTTTGCTATCCTTCTCGGTATTTTTCTCGATTGTCGTTTTTCTGTACTGCGGTGTCACGAGGCTGTCCTCGTGAATACAGTACAGTCAGTGTTGCTGAAGGGGAACAGTTGGCCCTGTGCTGCATTCCTCTCCGAGTGACACGGTGGTTCTCGGTCCAGGTGACCAAAAATTTGGCGCGTAGAGAGGGGAACCTCTGCCCAAATTTTTTTTGAGCGACCTGAAGTAAGGACTGAGAACCACGTGATGAGCTCACAGTTTCCGAGGAAGGGAAAATTCTGTAATTGAGGATATTACAGGAGAGCCAGAGGTCGAGATGTCCGTACCAGTGAATGTGGTGGACGAACCGGAGAAGGAGCGGCTTACGGGAGAAGCCGCAGAACCTCAGGTATGGCACGAGATTATTAAGAAAGTGAGAGCGATAAGCACGCATGTGACAGTAGAAGTAGCTAAGCACATGCGCACAAGTGATCCCAAGCGCGAAGCGATCGAAACCGTATGTAGGCAGCGGACGGAAGAGGCTGTCGAAGAGCTGAACCAGCTGCAACAGCAAGTTAGACAGGGCGCAGAGCTAGAACAGTGGGTAGCCACTGTGATGCTAAGTTTAGGTTGCAGCCAGCGCCACGAGTTTGTCGAATCTCTTACAGAGTTAATCAGAGTTTCGATGTGGTTCAGCAAGTAACAGTTGGAGAAGGGGGTAGAATAGATGACATAGTGGAGAAATGTCGTTCAGTTACAGCCCTCGAAAACCAACTTATGATGTTACAGGAGAAGCTGCGATCGTACGATGCGCAACTGGCCGAGTTGCAAGCTCTACGAAAGCGCTGTGAGAACCAGGAAAAAGAGTTGGAAAAGCTCCGCCAGCACCAGCGCAGCCCTGTGGATATGGAAATCGATGGTGAAAAGCCAGGGAAGTCAGGTAATAAGCGTACCGTTCCTAGCTTCGGCGAAGCTATGCAATATTTGAACAGATTGCAAAGTGGACTGACACAGCCTAAAGGTTCTTCTTTGCAGACTGGTGGACAAAGGCATGCCAGCGAGCTGGAACTGAGGTCAGTGGACGCGAACTCGAGCTGCTCACAACCTGGCGCCCCGAAGAGGGAAACAGGTAGGCTATCTTTTTGTACAGATAGCGATGTGAGCGAATGTCAAAGTAGTAGGGGTAGGAGAGAAGTGGCAAGAGAAGGTGCGAGTGCCCAAAAAGGGGACGATCCAGTAGCCCGCTACATGAGACATATGACCCTACCCGAGGTCCAGCCATACTCAGGGCAAGACTCGAACTACGGATTCGTGAGATTCTTGGAGGACTTTCAGCTGAAGTACCCCAGAACAAATTGGACAGATGCTGAGTTGTGTACACTTTTCCGCTCCAAATTGGTAGGAAAAGCGAGGACACTGTATGAAGCATTACCCAGCTATGAAAAGGATGGTGGATATGATGCGCTGATAGAAGCTATGATGCGCGAATGTAAGGCCGAACAGCGCACGATTAAAGTAGTGGCTTTAGGAAGGCTAAAGAGGTTGAAGAAAAGGGATGGTCAAACTGTTTCGGATTTCTGTGTAGAGTTAGAACAGTTGACTCGTCAGGCCTATCCCGAACTTGATGAATACACGTTAGCTGTGGAGAGAGCCACATTTGCTGTACGATCAGCTATCGCATTGGCGCGATTCGTATTATCTTCTTGAGGCGTTGGAAAGCGAAGAAGACACATACGAGAAGCTCAAAGAGGTGGCCAAAAGGATCGAACGACGTGACATGACCCTAGAACAGGTCAAAAACCCACGTACTGGGGAAGGGAAAGCCTTCAGTAAACCACCTCGTATTAAAGAACCTGATCTCAAGGATAGAAAGAATGTGCAGGACCGGACTACTAGAGAACCTGACTTCAAAGAAAGAAGGAATGCGCAGGACCGTACTCCTGTGTGTTACAAGTGTCGCGAAGCAGGACATATGGCTCGCGATTGTAAGAAAACGAAAATACCTTCCAAACCAGGGTCTTCTCTGTCAACCAGAGTACGTGGAGGTTGTTGTATAACTGCGGAAGAACGTGATACAGGATCCTCCCAAAGGCCACAAACGGAGAAAAGCCCGTTGTTTGGTAAAAAGATGACAGTGGAGCTAGAGCTACTAGGAATAAAGGCTCGGGGGTTGCTCGACACTGGGTCAGAGATAACTATCCTGCCCGGTAAAGTGTTGTTACGGGCGAAACGAGCTGGATTCGATATTGACCGAGCACTGGTGGAGCATGAGATTGACCAGACGAAACGGGTGTACGACGCGTCAGGTAGCGCGATGCAGTTTGTCGCAGTTCTGGAGGTCCCCATCCGTGACTGCTCCAGTGGACGTAAAGTTAGTGCGCTAGTTCATGTGTCAAGGGTAAAGGATGACATGGTTATCCTAGGCACTAACGTACTCCCAATGTTCGGCTACCAGTTGACTCGGGAAGGAAGACCACTCGATAACCCCACTAAAACGGAGACTGGTGCTTGGCTCCAAGAAGTGGTGCCGACGATACCCAACCCTACGGTGGCGAAGGTAGCTCGGCGCGAGTACATCGCGCCAGGAGCTATGAGTTGGGTGCAATTAACAGGCTGTGACAAAGATGCAGATTGGCTGCTAGACTCAGGTATACAGCTGATTCACAGTGGAGTGTGTCATGTGAAGAAAGATGGCCTAGTCGAAGTGCCTGTCATAAACAGATCGTCTGCACCCGTGGTACTCAAAGAAGGTGAATCAGTGGGACAGTGGAAGGAATATCAGACCGAGTGGATAGAAGCCAGTGCGAAAGATATTCCCACTGACATGCTTACACTAGAAACAAGGAGGCTGTCGGCTCAACAGAGGTTGATGAAGCTAAAACAGTTCCTCAAGGAAAACCGCAAAGAGCGAAAGCTACCTGCGAGGTTATGGAAGATGATTAGAGATAATCATTCCGTTTTCGCAGTGGAAGATAAAGAGCTCACACAGACATCATTAGTGAAGCACGAAATCAAGACCGGAGATGCGGAACCCATCCGTCAAAGGACACGTCCGGTGCCCGTAGGTGCACGTAAAGAATTCAAGGAGATCATAAGAGGACTACTTGAGAGAGGTATTATAGAGCGCTCAACTTCTCCATGGGCTTCTCCTGTAGTCCTAGTGAAAAAGAAGGATGGTTCACTTCGGCTTTGTGTGGACTATCGTGAACTTAACAAGCACACCAAGCCTGATGCGTATCCTCTTCCTGCGATTGACGTTATGTTGCAGAGTTTAAGAGGAAAACGGGTCTTCTCGTCATTAGATATGTGTTCAGGTTATTGGCAAATAGCGTTGTCAGATGACGCTAAAGAGAAAAGTGCGTTCACTACATCGGAAGGCCTATTCCAATTTACCGTGTTACCGTTTGGGTTATGCACATCGCCTGCTGAATTCCAACGGCTTATGGATCAAGTCCTAGGAGAGTTGAAAGTCAAGGAAGTCTTTGTGTGCATCGATGACATTCTCATAGCCACGGACACGGAAGAACGCCATTACGAGGTACTGCAGCATGTCATGACGGCATTGAGTGAGGCTAACTTGAAGTTAAAGCCACAGAAATGCGTTGTCATGGAAAGGCAGATCAACTTTTTGGGCCACCTAGTTGACGCTGCAGGAATTCATGCGGACCCCGATAAGATTGCGAAGGTGCAAGCATATCCGAGACCAACCAACATTGCAGAGTTGAGAACGTTCTTGGGTCTATGCGGCTATTATCGGAAGTTTATATTGAACTTTTCAAAGATAGCACAGCCTATGTTTACACTGACAAGTCAAAAGGTACCATGGAGATGGAGCGAAGAGCAGGAAGCTTCATTCAAGAAACTGAAAGAAGCACTGTCATCAACGCCCATTTTAGCCCAGCCTGACGTAGAAGGCGCAAGGGACGGTACGAAACCATTTATAATCTACACGGATGCATCTCAATTAGGCATCGGAGCCGTACTATGTCAAGAAGGAAAAGATGGATTTCTACATCCACTCTATTTTGCATCGAAAAGTCTAACCAAAGCCGAGCGAAGGTATCACATAACGGATACAGAAGCTCTCGCAGTGGTGTTTGCACTGAAGAAGTTCCACTTCTTTATATACGGCATGGAAGTCATAATCCGCACGGATCATCTACCTCTTACTGCCCTGTTCAAGAGAACAAATGTGTCCAGTCGTGTGCTACGTTGGGCATTGGAGATACAACAGTATCGTGTAAAAATCGAATATGTCAAGGGGAAAGCGAATCCCGTGGCCGATGCCTTGTCCAGAGGTGTCAACATGAGTGAACTTGAGCTGGACATCACTGACATAAAAGATGATCGAATCGTGTGCGCAGTTACTCCAAGTGACGGAACGCCGTGGTTAGAAGAGCTGAGAGATGATCCGGACTACAAATTCATCATTCAAGGACTCGAGTCAGGCCATCTGGAGGAGGAAGTTGCCTTACCCCGGATGGGAAAGAGATTTAAAGTTGTTGACTTTTCGCTGGAAGAAGGCGACTTGAAGTTAATAACCGAAAGTGGCGCGACAGTAAGGGTAGTTCCGAAGAGTAAGAGGAGAGAAGTCTTCGACGAAGCCCATCGAGGGTGCCTTGCTGGCCACTTTGCCGCTAAGAAAGTCCTACGTACGCTGAAAACTAAAGTATTCTGGGAAGGCATGGAGAAAGATGTTTTTAAGTGGCACCGGGAATGCCGAGAATGTTTTCTCGTTAACCCCAGGAGAAGTTATGTGCCACCATTGAAACCTTTCATTGCCGCAAAACCTTTCGAGATTGTCTGTATGGACCTCCTAGAGATGGGTTTGAGCGTAACAGGCATGAAATATGTATTGGTCGTCATCGACCATTTTTCCAAGTGGATGGGCGCATATGCGATCCCAGACAAGAGAGCTTCCACCGTGGCAGGTACCCTTTTTCGGCGATGGATTTGCGAGAACGGCCGCTGGCCGAGGCAGATTCATAGCGATCAAGGTACAGAATTCGCTAACAGCGTCATGGAGGAGCTGACGCTCGTATCTGGAATCACCTTTACAATACAAAAGGTTATAATTCACGCGAAAATGGTGTCACAGAACGTGTGATAGGCACCCTGCAAAGAATGCTGAAGAAGAAAGTTGAGGTCGAAGATTCGTGGGACTCCATATTACCGCATGCGGTGTATGCATACAACGTAAGTCCTCACGAGGCAACCGGAGAAAGCCCTTTCTTCTTGTTACACGGTTTTGACCCTTATGTACCGTCCAAGGTAGTACCTGAAAGTGAGGTAACAAAGTACCAAATTGACCTGGACGATTACAAGACCGAACTGCTACGGGGAATGCAGTTAATTCGCGAAGAAGTACTCGAATACGCTGACTCCTACCGAAAGAAGAATGAAAGCGTATTACGATGAACGTCACGACGTGGACGTCGCGAAACTTCCCAAGGTGGGCGGAAGAGTGTTCATGAAGCTCCCCATGGAAAAAGGGAAGAGTAAGCACCCAAAACTGACATGGGAGTGGGATGGACCCTTCCGAGTGCTTGATGTTTTTGAAACGTCTGCCTTGATAACGCGTATTGGGGCAGATGAGGAGCCGCTTAAGATACAGATGGACATGTTGCGGACATGCCCTGATGAGCTCGTAGCAGAACCCCGAAGACCTAGAACAAGGAGGCGTCAGAAGAGGTGTAAGCGAAAGCAGAGTGAGAG